TCTGATTTTCTGAATGGTTCCACTGGAAATTCTTACTAATGACTTAAATTTCATGCGATTCAATAAGATCGTGTAATTCAAGTGCGTAATAACATTTAGCCACATTTGTTTTGCATTTGTTATATTGGATTGCAAGCATTTTACAAGTACTTTATGTAAGGCTATATAGTGAGAAATGTCTTCTAGAAAGTGATAGTAATTTTGGACACTGTCCATGAAAGATCGCAAGCTTTTTGCCGAAAAAAAAAACTGCAACCTCAAAAGCAAGATTGATCTTTTCGTTTGTTTTTATAAGTAGTATTTACTATTCAACTTTACCTCTGATTGCAGTGTAGACTGAACCATGTGCATGTAGTTGTAAAATGAGGGAATTGAAACTATACAAGTCATAGTAGCTACTGTGCTGAAATAAAATCGAATTCGATTCAAGGAGTTCGCCTAGAGAGCTAGAGGAGAGAACGATCACATACCTGATACATATACCAACGAAGGAGATCTTTCGGAGAGCATCAACTTCATACCAAAGTTGAAAGCCGTCAGATTTCGTCAGCATCAAGCCGAATCTGGGCGCCTCGTCGGCTCTTTATAGCGCAGATCGCCACAACTTTCGGTTTTCCTGTTGCGAGTGGAATTACTCGCGGATTGAGCCGGTGTCCATTCTGCATTCAGGGAACGTTGCCGCAACAATGGTCTACGTTGCCTTTTTAGAAGACCTTTTGTGTACATAGTGCATGCTCTTTAAAAACGGCTACGGTGTCGGAATCAGGTTCACAGCTGCTGGACTCGCTACGTTATGGTAGGTGGTCGTAAATTAGACTCCTTCCGCTCAATCCTTTATGTGGACCGTCATAAACTTAATCGAAAAGTCGAGTTGCAGACCGCATCAGAAAAACTCAAAGTTTTGGCCTCACGCTTGACCTGGAGTTAGTCTGAAGTCGTATAAAAGATGTCAGAGAAACTGTAAAGATATAGCCCACTGTAAAGTGGATTATTAGATTGTTAATAATAACTACCTGTTAATGGTCGCTCGTTATTTGCTGGGGTTGTGTCAGTTTCGAATAGACCGTGCCACCTCTGTGGGTTGCCGTTCTCTGTGTTTTATTGTATCGCTACAGTCTACTGCGTATCAAGTTACTGGCATAACTTGCGCAAGACGGCGAAACGAGCCGCTTTTATTATTTCGTTCCATACATGCTTGACTTGCAGACGAGGATCTGATCATCTGAATTACGGGCTTGTTTATGTTTGTCGTCAGGAGATTCTTGAACGGTTTTTGGTTGCTAATAGCCCTTAATAATGTAATTACCGTCCCCATTCACGTTCACGTTTTTCAGCTATTCGTCGATGAGTCGCCATGAACGGGATCTTTACGCACAAATAGCTAATGCTGTTGAGGCAATGCGAGGACGAGTGGATAAAGTGAGCTATTTACGCCAATTATTCTCATCATTGATCAAAATTCACATTGTCGTGATTTATAGGTGGTATATCAGCGACCTAGCCAGTTTCCCAATGCAGTCGCTAAGATAATGGAGAATGGCGCTTTCCGTATTGTTTTCAGAGACCGTAAGTGTGATATCAGCTATTATGAAGGAAGAAGCTTGATTCACTGCACATTTTCAGAGCGTCGGTTGGTACAGAAATCGGGCTCGAGAGAAGTGCAACTACATTTTCCC